CCCTCCCTCCTTCCCTTCTCTCTCTCCCTCTCCCTCCCTCCCTCTCCCCCCTCCCTTCTGCACCTCAGGACCTTCTCACTCTCTGGTCACATTCCCAGCATGCTGTTCTCTGCCCTCCTACACCAAGTTCATCCTTATTCACCCTCCGCTCTCAGCTAGGTGCCACCTGCCCTGGATGGCTCACACAGACCTGGGACAAGGATTCCAGGGAAGATTCCTTGCCTACAAGCCATTGTCACAATGTACCACCACCGGGGGTGGGGCTGGAGGGGGGGGCCTCCCGAAACAACGGAAGTTTATCCTCTCCCAGCTCTGGTGGCCAGAAGTCCAAAGTCAAGGTGTTGGCAGGGTTGGCTCCTTCTCAAGGCTCAGAGGGAGAATCTGCCCCATGTCCTGCCCCCGCCCCGTCCCCCACCCCGGGCCTGGGGCTTCTGGCGGCCGGCCTCCCTCAGCCCTCCTTGGCTCGTGGATGCGTCACTCCGTCACTCCAATGTCTGCTTCTGTTACCACCTGACCTTCTCCCCGTGTGTCTCTGTCTCTTCTCCATTGCAGGCGAGGGCTGCCCTGGGAGGCATTCGGCCACCGAGAAAACCTGGAGTAAGTGGTCAGCCTGGCCAAGTGCCACTGAGGAGACAGAATGCTGTTCCTGGCCTTGGAAGCAGCATTTGCAAAGCTCTAGAGTTCAAGGACACGTGATGCGTTCGCAGCATTGAAAAGCCTCGGGCTTAAGAGACTGGCAGGGTCTTGACCATCATGGCGGGCATGGGGGGCTTGTGGGCCACAGAGGGGAGGTGTGGGCTGCATCTGGAGGGCAATGGGTAGCGATGGGAGAGTCGGGAGGATTGGGATTTTAGAAAAATCTCTGACTAGAAGGATTTCAAAGCAGAGGCAGGTCTGGTCTGGGAGAGAGAAAAGGTCAGACCCGCCGCTGAGCGCCGATCATGCGTTGCCTCATTCACTTCTCACCCCACCCATCTTGTAAGATGGGTTCCTCATCATTATGTCTATTTTACAGATCTGGAGTCTGGGGCCCAGAGAGGTTGAATGGTTTACCTGGTGTCACGCAGCTTGTGAATGGCAGACCCAGCAATCCAGATGTAAGCAGGCTGCCTAGCCCAGCAGGGGGCAGACTCAGGGTGGGAGGCTTGGGGGATGAGAAGTGGGGAGGACGTGAGGCTGATACCCAAGGCTGTGGCTGAGGATGGGGGGGACAGCTGGGGACGGGGCTGGAGAGGAGGCACTGAGGTGGGAGGATAAAGCTGGGGCAGGACTGGAGGCCCACTGGGCAGTGAGGCTAGAGGATAGGGACTACCCACTCCTACCAGCTCCACCCTGACCTGGGCACCTCTCTCCCCCCAAATCAAATCTAGTTAGACTCTGAGGACATATGAACTCAGACCAATGTCCTGAGAAAGAGCTGGCCCCTGGAGAAAGGGCATTTCAGGCAGAGGGCACAGCCTGTGCAAAGGCCCTGGGGCAGGACCAGGCCTGGTGTGGCCTGGTGTGTTGTAAGAATGGCAAGGAGGCCCGTGTGGCTGGAACAGAGTGACTAGAGGCGGAGAGAGGGAGTAGGTTTGGAATTTGGGTTTCAAGAACCGACCTCATGGGGGAAGGGTGCCCTGAACTAGTCTGGGTCCTTCTGGGTATCTCAAAAGGGGGTGACATTGGCACCTCTCTTGGTGGGTCTCTGGGAGTCTTTGGGAGATGATGCTCTGGAGTAAGAGTTATACGTGCTGGATCCGTGCCACTGGTGGCCATCAGCCCACTTTGTGGCACCCCTGAGCCTTATGAGGTCCAGGAACTGGGGATGCTCTGAGCGTTCCACAAGTTTTCCCAGAGGCTGCTAGGGCACCCGGGTCAGAGACCCAGGAATTCTGTCCTGGCCACAGCCCTAGGCAACTGGGGGCTCCTGGGGACAAGATGGAACAGGACGATGTCACAGAGGCCTGGGGCATCTAGAACCCTGGGGGTTCCTGGCCTCAGCGTCATCCACCAGCAAGGCCGCCCGGGTAGGTCAGTGGCTCCTGAGACGGCCTTCAAGGACACGATGCACACCGGGCTGCCGCCGGGAGCAGCGTCTGCCTAGGGACGCCCTGGTCCCAGCTGTCCCGCTTCCCTGCCTCTGAGCTCCCCATTCGAGCTCACCTCCCTGCCCATCTCGGCCACGGACCCCCCGGGAGGCCCTGGAGATGCCCGAAGGCCTCCCGTCTGCTGTCCCCAGCGGGACCTAGCTCCACGCAGCAGCCGGAGGAGGGGGAGGAGAGGGGGGCGGTGGCCATGGGGCGGCGGCAGCAGCCAGCCGGGGCCCCGGCGGCCGTCAAGGCCTCGCTGATCCTGCTGGCGCTGCTGGCGCGCTCCGAGGCCGTGGTGCGGGCCGTGCTGGACGGCAACGCCAGCGCCGTGGACTTTGCGGATTTGCCGGCCCTGTTCGGGGTGCCCCTGGCCCCCGAGGGCGTGCGGGGCTACCTGATGGAGGCCAAGCCCGCCAACGCGTGCCACCCCATCGAGGGCCCGCAGCCGGGCAACGGCTCGCTGGGCGCCATCGTGCTGATCCGCCGGTACGACTGCACGTTCGACCTCAAGGTGCTGCACGCCCAGCGGGCCGGCTTCGAGGCAGCCATCGTGCACAACGTCCGCTCGGACGATCTGGTGCGCATGGCGCACGTCTACGAGGACCTGCGGCGCCAGATCGCCATCCCGTCCGTGTTCGTGGGCGAGGCGGCCTCGCAGGACCTGCGGGTCATCGTGCGCTGCGACAAGGCGGCCCACGTCCTCCTGCTGCCCGACTACCCGCCGTGCCCCGACCTGGACTGCCACCCCGTGCTGGCCGTCTCCTGGGTGCTGGGCCGCGCCCTGGCCCTGCTCACGTCCGCGGTCCTGGTCCTCCGCCGGCTGTGGAACTGGCTCCAGGCCCGGTGGAGCCGGGGGCCCGAGGTCAAGCCGCAGGCCTGCCAGAAGGCGCAGGTCCGCACCTTCACGCGGAGGAACGACCTGTGTGCCATCTGCCTGGATGAGTACGAGGAGGGCGACCAGCTCAAGATCCTGCCCTGCTCCCACACCTACCACTGCAAATGCATCGACCCCTGGTTCTCGCAGGCCGCCCGGCGCTCCTGCCCCGTGTGCAAGCAGTCGGTGGCCGGCACGGAAGATGGCTCCGACTCCACCATCAACAGCTTGGGCGACGAGGACCCCTCGCTGCCCGGACACCGGCCCCCCATCTGGGCCATCCAGGCCCGGCTGCGCTCGCGGAGGCTGGAGCTGCTGGCCCGAGCCGGCTCGCAGGGCCACTCCAGTGGCACGTCCGTGGGGGTGGCCGAAGCCACGGTGTCCTCCCAGAGGCCCCCAGAACCCCTGTGAGGCACTGCGGCGCCCGGGCTGGCCACGATCGGGCCGGGGAGGGTGGAAATGCGGAGTGTTTCTAGTCGAGAGAGAATAAAGTGGGTTTGAAAGTGGAGTCTCGCCCTGACTGCTGTGGGGCCACCCGGCTTCTGGCCCCTGCGGCCACCCATTTGGCAAATCCCCGCGAGCCCGAGGCTGGCTCCCAGTGTCCGCGGGTGAGTGAGGAGAGCGGGGGGTGGGGTGGGAGGGTGTCTCCAGGGCCGCTGTGTCGTCCGTCACACCAACGGTGGTGTGGGACGCCCCGCACCTCCGTTCCGATCCTGGGCACGTGGGCTGCGCATCCCTGCTTGGCTTGTTCATTCTGCATTTCAGCATTTTTTTTTAAATAAAATTTTTACTTTGGACTGATTTTAGATGTACAGAAAAGTGGCAAAGGTACTAACTACAGAGAGTTCCCATGTACCCCTCGCCCGGCTTCCCTGCAAGGGGAAAGCATGCTCACCTGTCCCCACCAAGAAAGGTACATCCGTTACAGTGAACTCACCTCCAGCTTTGATCTGAATTTCCCCATCATTGCCACTTTTTATAGTGGAAAACGTCAAACACACCCAAGTAGAGAGAATAGAATAATGATCTTCCCCATATGCACCCATTACTCAGATTCAACAATTATCTATCCAGGGCCACTCTCGACTCATACACCCTTCCACTCTCCTCCGTCTGTTGTCGTTCTGATGCAAATGCCAGATGGTTTTCATCTGTAAACATTTGGTGTTTCTAAAGCAGCAGTTCTCACCTGGATTGGGGATTTTGTCCCCAAAGGACTCTGGGTGATATCTGGAGACATCTGTGGTTGTCATGCCCCTGGGGGGGGGGGGTTTCCTGGCATCAAAGGGGTAGGGGCTGGGATGCTGCTCAACCCCCCCCACCAGCATGCAGGATAGCCTATGATGACCCAATCCCGAGGTCAGCAGTGCCAAGGGGGACAGCCCCTGCTCTAAGATAAGACTCATTTTTTCTTTTCTTCTCTCTCTCTTTTTTTAATGCGGGGCTTGAACTCACGACCCGAGATCAAGACCTGAGCTGAGATCAAGAGTCAGGTGCTTAACTGATTAAGCCACCCAGGTTCCCTTAAGATAAGACTCTTAAAAAAAAGACCCACAAACTTCAGTATTATGTTCAAAATAACAATTCCCTAATAGCATCAGATATCCACCCAGCGGACGCACGGAAATGTGGACGCTTGTGAGGCGCATTTCTTTATGTTGTCTGGGTCAGGACCAAGGTAAAGTCTAGAGTCGTTGGTGGTCTCCTAAGTCTTAATCGACAGCTTCCCCATCTCTGCTCTCTTACTTTTGCCTTGCCATTTATTTGTTGAAGCCGCGGGGTCATATACTCTGTGGCGACATCTCCCACCTGGGTTTTGCCCAGCTTGTCCTTTTGGTGCCATTTAACACGTTCCTCAGTCTCCTGTGCCTCCTGCCAGTTTGCAGCTGGATACAGAGATCAGCTCAGATGTGGCTTAATTTTATGGCGAGTAGTTAAGGTGCTTCTTCAGAAGGGTTGGGCCATATCAAGGGGTCTTCCGGACAATGAGTGAGGGGCAGTTGCTTGGCCACGTGCCAGGCATGATGAGGAAGGTCAGGGAGGGAACACTGGATCTGACACTGCTGACCCTGGAATTGTAAGAAGGAGGTGAGTGTGCAGGAAGAGTAGTCCAGGCTGAGGGAACAGTGCATACAAAGGCCCTGGGGCAGCACCAGGCCTGGCACGTTTGAGGAGCAGTAGCAAGGAGGCCTTTGTTGCTGGAGCAGAGTGAGCGAGGTAGGGGGACAGGGAGGAGGTGAGGGCAGGAAGGGGACGGAGGAAGTTGGTACAGGACCTTGTAAATTTGGAGAAGGAATTTGATTTTTATTCCAAGGTGCTGAGTAAAACCACTGGAGGGGTTTTAAGTAGCTCAGAGAAAATCCTTCTCAGCAGCACTTCTAGGTCTGTTTTCCAGATGAGGCAATTGTGGCCCAGAGAGGCCAAGTCACTTGCTTGGGGGCATAGAGCAGGTGAGTGATGGTGGGATTTGGACCCAACAGTTTGGTCTTGGGAGGTCCACAAGTGAATATGTGTGTGTAGTCAAAGATTTCCTGTGTTACACATATGAAAGTGTTTTTCTTTTTCTTTTTTTTTTTTTAAAGATTTTTTATTTATTTGACAGAGAGAGATACAGCGAGAGAGGGAACACAAGCAGGGGGAGTGGGAGAGGGAGAAGCAGGCTTCCCGCCAAGCAGGGAGCCCGATGTGGGGCTCGATCCCAGGACCCTGGGACCATGACCTGAGCCGAAGGCAGACGCTTAATGACTGAGCCACCCAGGCGCCCCATGAAAGTGTTTTTCAATTGTGCTTTGCTGTCTGCACTTCATGACAAAGCTGGGAAACTTCGAGGTGGCTTAAGGAAAAAGGTCTCCCTTCTTGGATTGATGATGGCAAAGGATAGGCCCTTGGTCAGGATGGCAAAGGATGGGCCCGTGGTCGTGGCTCTGGTGTGTGTGTGTGTGTGTGTGTGCGCGCACATGTGGGCATGTATGTGTGTAGAGGTGGGCTGAGGTCCTTGCACATGATCCCTGAGGGGCTGCAGCTCTGTGATGAGGACCTCACACCCAGTTTCTGAGGGTCCTTGCTCCCAGCTTTGCATAATGCCACAAACAAAGGCTACACTATTCGGGGCACCCTGTTTTGGCCACTGGGGATGGTCTATGGCACTGCCAAGGCAAGGACAGACCTCTCTGTCCAGTAGGCATGAGAGGGGGTGAGAATGGAGAGGTGGACTGGGAGGGACAGATGTAGCAGTCAGGATTGGGCTGGTGGTGGGATACAAGACTCAACCAGAGCATACTAAGCACATGGGGCTCATGCATATGAAGAGTCAGTGCAGGTATGGCATGGAGGCTCTATGGTGTCCAGGGCCCAGGCTCCTTCTATATTATTGCTCCATATCCTTAGCAAGTGGTCACCTTCTCATGGGACAATACAGCTGCTTGAGCTCCTGCTATCACATCTGCATTCCAGTCAATGAGGAGGAAAGGGTGAGGAAGGGCTCCCCACTTCCTTCTAAGGACACATCCCAGAAATCCCGTATACCACTTCTTCTCACACCCCATTGGCCAGAACCGAGCCATGTGGCCACACTTGCCAAAAAGGACACTGGGAAATGTAGTCTTTATTCTGAGTGGCCAACAGTCCCACTGAAAACCTGAGGTTCTATTCCTATGGAAGAGGGGAGAACAGATATTAAGGCCAGCACTGCCTGTCACTTGGACACTGTGGAAGCTGGCTTACGTGTTTGTTAAAGGAGAGAAAGAAAGAAAGAAAGAAAGAAAGAAAGAAAGAAAGAAAGAAAGAAAGAGAAAGAATCCTCTCGCCTCTAGCTTGAGCCTCCTTCAAGATCACAGGCACCACAGGGAAGCAGGCACATCCCCGGTCATGGGACAGATGACTTTTCTCGAAACCAGGCTGCCAGGGGAGGGAGTGAGCTCACCGTCCCTGGGGATAGAAACCAGCTCTCACTGAGGCCTTGCTATGCTCCAGGACTCAGGCCACATGGCTTCCACCAATAACCCTTCCCGAGTCTCAGTTTTCTCATCTGTACAGTGGGGACAGCAGTAGCAATGGGCCCCACAGGGCTCCCGAAGCATGGACGACGCTAACACAGTGCCTGACACTAAGTGCTCTGTCGGTATTTGTCGAATGACTAAGTGACCTGCCCACAGCCCGGCTAGAATACTGGGTGATCAGAGCCGTGAGGAGGAAGCTCTGGCACCGTGTTAGCCCAAAGGGAAGTGCTTGCCATAACCCAGAAATGTGGGAGGCTTCCTGGAGGTGGTGTCTTCTCTACTGAGAGCAGAAAGGGCAGGAATCAGCACCGTGAAAAGGAAAAGTGATCCTGGCAGCTAGAACAGCATGGGCAAAGGCCTGGTCTGGCATCCAGTAGGTGCTTAATAAGTGTACATAAAGTCCTTGCCCCCCTGATTAGAACCTGCCCCCTCCGAGAAGGGGCCTCAGCTTCATCCCAGCTTCCTCAGTCCCCCAACAGCCAGGCCTGGGCCCTTCTCCAGCCGCCTTCAGGGAGGCTGGGCACTGCCAAGCTTGGCAAGACCAGCCTGTGCCAGACTCCTTGGCCCTGCTTGGCTGCTACTCCAAGTAAGCACCAGCAAAGGCCTCCTCCCGCCCATCCAGGCATGTCCTTCTGTGTTGTCTAAGGGGCAGTGTGGCCAAATGGAGAAACTGAGGCTTGGGGGTGGGGGGTTGGAGTCAGGGAGGGCAACAGCCACCGGCACGACTCCTGAGCACAGACGCTGTGCCAGGCGCCAGGCCACATTCTTTCCGCACGAGCTCCTTGCAGCTTGAGCCAGGCTCCTGCGCGATACCCCCATTTTCCGGAGGAAGAAACTGAGTCTGTGAAAGAGAACATGGTTTGCCCAGGGCCACACACCTGGCAGCTCACTCCTGCACCGTTTTTAAATGGCTCTCACTTTGAATTCTGCTTTCTGCTGGCCTCCACCTCCCCAGTGTGGGTCACAACTCCAACTGTCCCTACAAAAATATGCTTTGGCCACCCACTCACCTAGGTCTTTGCTGGGCAGCCTAGACGCAGCAGTGACCGAGATGGACCCAGCCCCCCGCCTGCATGGGGCTCCCAGTCCGGTGCGGGGGAGGGACCACGATGAGTTGGGGGGTGCGGCACAGGGGCTGTGAGGGCCCCAGCCTGCAGGGTCGGGGAACACTTCTCAAATAAGGGGCATCTACCCCAAGACACGAAGGATAGAACAAAAGCAATTTGGCAAGGGGTGGAAGGGTGTTCTAGGGAGAGGGAACAGCATATTCAAGGACCCAGAGTCCTAAAAGGCACAAAGACTCTTAATCTATTTGGACACAACTCCCGCCTCAACACACATATGCATTTTTAGTTATAACAGGTAATGACACTTCAAGTTTATTACAAAGCTCTCTTCAGCAGCCCAAGTGCACGTGGCCTCGACTATTCTAGAAAGACAAACGGAAGTAGGTCCTATTAGAATCAATCCCATTTTTCCGAGAAGAAAATTGAGGCCCAGAGA